TGGGAATTTTGCACTTGTTTTTGGGGTGGGCCATTTTTAGAAGCTAATGTTTTGCAAGAAGACTAAAATCAAATACTTTTCTCTATGAATGAAGAAAAGTTCTTGAATTTCTATTGATATTGAAGTTTCTATATACATTTATATAACTGTCATTTGTACAACATTTAATGTTACCTTAATTTTGTAGAAAAATTTTCAGAAAAAAATCACGTTCAGTTCTTGTAGGGCTTTATAACAATCCTTTGTTTTTCTAGTTAATAAAGTAGCCCCTTTATTCAGGGATTAACAGTAATAATTGAATTTATGAGGAAAATGTATTGCTATATTACATAATTACTGGGTTTATGTCTTGTCTTGTTAGCTGGCAAAAGACATGTCAGCAGCAGCAGTGAGATGCATCAGAAGAGAAATCAGAGATCTTTACATTAATATTCAGCCTGTCAGAGAACCTGATGATCAAGCTGTTGGGACTGGAAGTGGAATAATGTAAGTTGAATCCAAGCTGTCTGTTGTTAGCTCTAATCTTGTTGGTTGATTATCTAGATCTTGATTACATATCTGGTAAATAAACTGTAATATGAGTGATTTTGTTCTTATTTTTAATTATGTTTTTTTTTCTGCTTAGTATTATTGCAGAGACTTCAACAGGTTGTTTGCTAGCTGGGTCATCACTTGGCAAGAGAGGTAAGAATTCCATGAATTCTTTGAGACTTAACTGAATAAACCGATAACAAATAGGAATCTGAAGTATAATCTGTTTAATGATCTGATGCTTTGAATGTTTCATTTTTAAATGTATAGAAATAAAGGACAGCAAAAATTAGTAGATTTAAAACATAGTAAATGGAAATTTACAAAAATTACTGAACTGTTAACTTTGCCTCATATCAGAATGGATAATCACTGCAAATATTTCCGAACTTTAGGAACACAGGCTTTGTGTTCCTTTACATGTGAAGTTTTTGGTCAAGAGTGAATCTAGATTAAAATAAATGGAAGAATAAATTATTTGAATCTAATGTTTTTCTGACTAAATGAGGCTACTTTCTTTCCACTGCTTAGGAAGTATAGACTATATATGAGCATAAGATGGGAAGGGTTTTTTAAGCAGACATTTGAGGCAAGAGCATAAGATTTAAAAAGTTGATAATTCCTTGGGTTGTTTTGTTTGGGTTTTTTTTTTGTATTTTTAAAATTTTAAATAGTAATTTTCAGCTTTCTGATTTCTCTCTTAGGAAAAAATGCTGACAAGGTTGGCATTGAAGCAGCTGAGATGCTGCTTCAGAATCTTAAACATGGTGGAACTGTGGATGATTCTCTGCAAGACCAAGTAAGGTTACTATATGCATTTACATGAAGTTGAAGTAGAAAGAACATGTATGCACTACTTGTAACCAGTACAGATCTGAACAGGGAAGGAACAAGATGTTAGTAGTCTCAGAGCTATGTAGTCACATCACTAGAATTAGCAAATTACATACAGTTTTTAGGAACCACAAATGCTTTTAGCTTTGCACCAACACCCTCAAATTTTCCCTTTCTCTAACCCCAAATAAGTATGGAAGAAGGAGGCAGGAATTTGCTTCTATTTGGCATTCCATGTAGTGCAGTGATAATAGCTCCCTCTTCACATATATAGAATGACGCTAAAGGAAGGTATCAGAGAATATCTAGGACATGCTCCTGATTATCTTTCTCCCCTAATTTAATTTAAAAATGAAGGCTCTTCACTGCCTTATTTTAGCCTGATAAGAATCTTGGGTTGGTTTAACTAGGATGATGTTACCTCTTAGCTGTAAACACCTGGGCACACATGAATATTATGTAGTATAATAAGTATTTCAGTCTTGGATTCAGCCTACTTTTTTCAAAGCATTCAAGTACAACTGATGGGAACAAGCCAGAGTCACTGTGTATGAGAACTGCAGAGAGTTAATCACACCTTGTAGTATTCTTGTTATGGTGATGTTTTTAAGTCAAATCGAAGGTTTTCAGGTGCCTGGTGAATATGTGATCTGGAAGTGTTAGAATTAAAATACCTCTTCCTGAGTTTCTCTCCATATAGGTAATCTATTCTGGATTAGTAGATTACCTAGAGTATTTAGTAATCATTAGTACCTACCATTAGTAATCTACTAGTAACCATTAGTAATCTACTAATCTGGAGTCTGATGTGACTTTAGGGGAATATACAGTGGGGGAAAGCAAAGTTAAATGTAGTAGGGATTCAGGGACAAGCTCCACTGTGGAAAAGTAACCCGTCTGTAATGGGCATTACAGTAGCAATCTCCAAACTTCTGGAGCCTTGGATCACTCTTCAAACTAAGCTTCATGAACTTTTATGGGGAGTGTCTAGAGTGAAAAGTGGACCAATTACACTTCATACTCAAACAGCTATACACTTTGCAGAGCAGCTAACAAAGGTGAGTCCATTCCAAAAGGAAGTTCTTCCAGTAACTTGGTAATGTACAGTTCATCAGGCAGTGTGAGCTGAACTTGATCATGGAGGACAAGCATTGATAAAGCAATTGCTATAATATTTAACTGGGAGATTACCTGTAGAAAGTGAGCATGCTCTAGAGTTAAAGGCTTTTAGAATGGTTAGATACTTTTATCACCTTTATTTAAATTTAAATGGCTTTTTGAATTAAATCTGTCAAAGCTGTAATATACATACACATGTGGCAGTACAATTATTGGACATCAGATATTGAATATCTAAACTGCTCTATGTGATAATTTAATTAGTGATGTATTTCTAATCCTCTTTTAGGCCAAATTTACTATAACAAAATCAGAAGAGGAAGATCCCAGTAATGATACCTACATCATTGAGTGCCAAGGAATGGGGATGATAAACCCAAATTTATAGTGTTAAAAAAAAAAGGCAGTAAGCTGCCACAAGAAACACCCAGCATACCTCAGTGATGTATTGCACTACACTTCATTGGATGTATAATCTGCCTGAAGAGGAGGAGCCTTCTGTCACATCAGAGTGATTTAACTTGAAGGTTGATGTCAAGCTTTTCCTTGGTATGGTGAGAATCAGTCATGTGAAAAATGAAAACTTTACTTTTTTTTTTTTTTTTTTACTATTTGCAGCAAAATGAGTAGCAACAGTACAGCAAATAGAATATACTGTATGTATGCAAGAGCTTCAGTTAGAAGCTTTGAATTTTACCCAAGTAGAAAATAACTATTTTAGTTCAGTATTTCTTTCCCTTTTAACAAATGAAAGTTTTGTTCTCTGAAAACCTTTATGTTATGAGGTACATAGAATGAAATACACCATCAAATCTGTATTGCTGTTCTTCCTTAGCCATTTGCTAAATAATAAAGTAGTATCACCCTATAAAAGGCTTTATATGTGCTGTTATCTCAGTAGGTTGTGAGTGGGAAAGGTGGATACAAAATAGCTTTTCAGCAGCATAGTTTATTTTTCTCCCTACAGAAAGAATCAATGCATAAGATAATATTTTAAATCTTTTTTCATCTATTTTAAATCTTTGTTTTCATCTATTTTATAAAGCCTTGTCAGGCAAGCTTAATCAATCACATTACAGCCCAGACACCAAGTATTAACTCCATGATATGATTTTATTTCCTAGCTCTAGTTGTCCTTGTCACTTAGCATACTAACTGAGGCTGTATTTTCAGTGAAGTGATGTTCTTTTTGAAGGGAGTACTTAATTTCATCTGAGATTAGGGTGCTGTTGAACACACATATAGACACAGTAACTATATGTATGGACATGGAGCACTGTAAATACACATAATTTATGTGGGCATATAAAATCCAGGTGTGCTATCCCCATCTGGGGATTAAATAGAGCTTCTACCAGGCTGGTGTTGATCATGCTACAAAAACTTTTTCTGAAGTAGAAGGAAGGTGAAAGGAGAAATAGGGCACAATTTGTTTTGCATATGAAGACCCAAATCACAGAGTTGGAATCACTTAACCAAAACTGTATAAATGCACTCTGTAAGCTTGAATTGATTTCCAAGTTTCCCAGCCTCTACTGCAGCCATTGCTCTTAAGATATTTTTTCCTCAGTTGTGACTACTGAACCTAACTGCTCAGGATGCAATTTGAGGTATTGTTTGCTATACTAATTAAGATAATTACTTAATTAATGCATTACTTTGCTTTTCTAATACCAAGAAAAACCTTTGCTAATATCCAAAAAAATTCACCAACTATCTACTTAACAATACCTTTCCTATTAGGGTTTTTCCCTTAGTGCAAAGGAAAGCTCTCAATTTCCAACTAATTATTTTTCTCTAGTACTGGGAATAGTCTGAAGGGGGCAATAGACACCTGCTGAAGTATTTTTGGGACACAGCCTCGACATCCTTTGATAAGCACCTCTCTGAGTTTCTCGTCTGTCTGTTAATGATTTTCAGTGTTTCCTTTTTGAAGAATTCTGAATGTGTTTTTAAAAAAGGCTTGAAAGAAAATCCCAAAGAAGTTGCTGTCTGTGCTTAAGAAAACAAGCTCTTATAAACCACATTTGAATAAATATTTATCTGTTTTCAGTATTCAAAAAATTCATATACTTAACTTGGTTTTTAAATGTGCAGACTTTTTTACCAGTGAAAGTTTAAAAATATTTTTTTTAAAAAAATCACTAAGTACAACAAAATTCAGTTGAACAAAAGAATCCCATTGAAAAACTGAAGTGCAATTTTTGTCTTCCAAATATAGAAAAGCATGTAAATTCTCAGCCAACACATTTAACAAAGATTAACAAACCCAGGTTACCAGAAATATACCTCTTGGTAAATGTGCAGTACAGGACAGCTCAGCAACCCTGACACCTCTTGCTGCTGCTCCCTGAGCTCCACAGGTGTGTTACAAAGAGCAGCTGTCATTACTAACTAGCAGTCCTTGCTGGTTTCCTGGCAGGCCTGGTCAAGCATCCAGCCCTTGCTCCTGTGGCCCAGGGGCCACCAGTGGGCAGGGGAGAGGCTGCAGAGCTGCTCTGTCCTTGCCTTGTCAGGGTGAGAGCTGTTCCCTAATGCCATCCCTGCTGTGCTTCCTGCCTTGGGGGAAGCTGGAGCTCATTTGACAAGGATTTACATGCAACCTTTTTCTCCTTGGGATTAGAAAATCTTTAGATGGGAGTCATCCACAACAGGTTTTACTCCTCAATGGGATTAAATTCCCCAAATAATTGTTACCCCCTGCTACACACACACAGACACATAGAATTTTGTTACCTGGGCCCAATTCACATCCTGTCACCTCACGGTTACCTCTTACCAAGAAATGTTTATTGTAATTCCTCTTCTTTTTCCACGTATCATAATTACTCTTCATTACATATGTAATTGTAATAGTTCAAGAAATTGAACAAATTTTAACTGAGATGGTAAAAACCAAAATGAATTTGGGAATATGGGTATCATTCATATTCTACCAGGTTCCTACCTTTTCTTTTCAATGCAGTTCTGCACCATAAAACTTAATTCCTCCAGGCTTACATTACTTTCAATTCACTTGATTTTAAATCTACAATTCAAAATATGAGCTGCAGACCTTGTTACATCACACTCCTACATTGCACATGCTGTATGTACTTAAGCTTAAATTTTACAGCATAAATAATTCTTAAAATTAATGCAGTGTATGCAAATTATTGGTAGTTAGTGGTGTAACTTTTCTCTTTTTTCAAACATCCTGTCCTTTTTGAATATTAACTGATATTTACAGGGCATTACTTGAAGCTTTTTGACTTTCATTTTTATCTATTTACAATCACATAATTTTTAACTATAAGGTTGGATTAAGTCACTTGTGAGAATGTATTAACCTTTTGTTCAGGAAAAGATGAGAAATTGCTTGCACCTGCTCCACAAATATGCACAGGGTTTTCTTATGTTAATCAGGCACATTTGAATCTTATATAAAAACTTCAGTGTGGGTGTACAGATACAACTAAGATGCTTACATTTAGTACTGCTCAAACAAGTAGTGGCAATGACTCAGAAGTTCTATGTAGCAAGGAAATGGGATAAATCCTCTCCAACTGTGTATCTCTGGTGTACTTGCACGAGAGAGAATTGTGTTTGGATGGATGCAGTGATCAGAGGTATACCACTCAGGTATATGGGGACTGGAGTTGCAAGACAAATAATACAGGCATTATATGCAGCCAGTTACAAAATTTTCTCCAGGAAGTGTGCACTCTGATTCTGGCTGAACTCTGTTCCTCTCAAAACCTTTTCTCCTTTCACACCCTTAGATCGACTGGTGACCGTTCCTCTTCTGAGCCCCCAGGCATTTTGTTCTGGTCACTGAAATGTTAGTGACACATTCACTATTTTCTAGCCCATGTTGGGAATACTGCATCCAATTTTGGGCCCCTCCATCCAAGGAGAACACCAGTAGTGAAGTTGATCTGGGGCTGGAGCTCTGTGAGGAGGGGCTGAGGGAAGGGGACTCAGACACCTGAGGGGATGGGCTCAGACACTTACCAGCAAATGGCCAGCTCCTGCACAGAGGTGAGGGAAGAGATGGAGTCAGTAGTCCCATGGTGTGTGGCAGAGGGTGAGAAACAGAAATGAGAGATGCTCTGGCTGGCCAGAGCCCTGACTGACACAGTTTGAGCTCAGGGCTTATCCTGCATTGTGCAGCAGTTTTGACCAGTGCCCACCTGTGATCCCTTCCCACCTCATCCTACGATGCTGAAATCCCTATCTGGCAGGTAATGATCATCCAAACATAGTGTGGAAGAATTCTCTAAGATATTCCAGCACAGATTATCTATAATTGACAATGCTAAAATCAACCAGAGGTTAAATAAAACACTACACTAAACAAAGGTGTATATAGGAAAAAATTGCCAACACAAATTCTTTAGAATGGTAAAAATGAAGAAATTTTAGAATTAGAGCTACACCTTGAATTCAAAAGAAGTGACTGCAAACACAGACATCAAATCTGTTGGTGATTGGAGAGAATAGGAAGCAATATCTAATAATCAAGTAAAATAGGTGAACTGAAAAGTGCTTCTCTAATATTTGACTGCAGAAAGGTCAGTAAAGACCTTTCTTTAGTGAAACAGTGAGACCTTTCTTTAGTGAAAAGTGAGTGTACAGGACTGTGCACAGGACTTGGGCAGAACCAGATTTTTTCTTTTAATCCAAGATTTTCTACTGTCTTGAAGACCAAAGTTCAAGGCTTAAGGAAGCCTACTGATAAGTGCACTTAAAAGCTAAAAGCTCTTGTGAAGTGTGCATATGGAGAACTTCCCGCTGCAAGCTGTGAGACTTTGAATTTTTGTCCCACCCAACAGTCTCTCCTCTGCCCAGGAGGCTTTCTGTGCAATGCTTTCCAAAGTATTTGGGATCCCATAATGATAGGACATCTGCTAGAACAACAAACTCTTATTTGAAAATCACACTTTCAAATAATAACTGAATCTTTTTTTCACATAAAACTTTTTTAGGATTAAACTTTAGACATTTTATGTCACACTGTACAAGTTTTCAAAGATCTATAAAAAGAACAAATATTAGCTCAGAAAACATCTAATGTTATTTTTCTTCCAGAGATATTTTTCTAGCTACTTAAGACTCTCATTACCAGGTAAATGATTCCTATATGAAAAGACAATTTGTGAGAGGATTTAATGTGGTTTTTTTCATATGGAAACCTCTCTATAAACAGAATTTTACATGCATTGCACTCTTCTAGTTTATACAATGCCAGCTGACTTGAAGTTTATCCAACTTTTGTAATCCAGAAATGCTCTTGTAGATCATATGTTTTCTCAGCTATTAATATTTGTAGCATCAGAACAATCTGATACTTTTTCCTTATATTGGTATTCTGTTCCATTAAAAAAAAAAGTGATGAATAAAGCATTTACTTTTTAACAGAATGGGTCTTACATAAAATGTCTGTGCAGACTAAGACAAATTCCAGTATACTGTGTTTCGGCTTCATTGTATTATAATAGCAAACATTTGCTTTTAATATGATGAAACTATGACTATAGGAATTTACATTTGTTTAACTGAAGATGGAACTTGGACTGTAGACATAAATTAAAACAATTATTAGATTATATAATTTGGAAAGAAAGGAAGGGAGAGTAAGCAGTGAGTCTAAACATCATTTCCATCACTTTTATTCTACCATCATCTACCCCAAATTCTCCACAGACAAGTATGATTTTGAATTCTGTTTTGCTGAAATGGCTTGCTCAAAAATACTTTACAGCAAATGTTTTATGCTCACTGAATATACCTTTCAGCCATGAAAATTTACCAATTATATTGCTTTTTACAAAAGTAAGCCCTTTCTTCCCCTGCTTTGTTTATCAAGATTCCTTAGATTTTTCTTTTCTCCCTGATCAA